GACTACAGTTAGGTGTCTCATATTTGGGATTTTCCCATTTCTTTTCCTGCGGGCGCAGAAGGAGTGACTGAAAAACAGTGGGGCTCTGTGGCGCAATGGACAGCGCATTCGACTTCTAGGACAGAAGAAGGCATTTAAAAGTTGTGGGTTCGAGTCCCACCAGAGTCATCAGTTTACATTCTAAGTAAGTGTTCAGTCGATTAATTTTTGGTTTCCTTTGAAGCTCAAAACCTTACTACAATTACCTCTGTTGTGAATTGTGAAAGACAAGGCACTGTGGCTTAGTAGGTTAAAGTTCCTGTCTCCTAAACAGGAAATCTTGGGTTTAATTCCCAGCGGTGCCTCATAGAAATACATCTTTTCTTCACAAAATAATTTTTGGGATTTCATCATTGAGAAAATATAATTACATTATTTTCCTTGTAGCTCAAAACCTGACTACAGTGACCTCTGATGTAAATTGGCACAAATTAGACGCTGTGGCTTAGTTGGTTAAAGTGCCTGTCTCGTAAACAGGAGATCCTGGGTTCAAATCCCAGCGGTGCCTTACTAAAACACATCTTTTCTTCACAAAAGAATTTTTGGGATTCCATCACTGTAAAAATATAATTAAATTATTTTCCTTGTAGCTCAAAACCTGACTACAGTTACCTCTGATGTAAATTGGCACAAATTAGGCGCTGTGGCTTAGTTGGTTAAAGTACCTGTCTCGTAAACAGGAGATTCTGGGTTCAAATCCCAGCGGTGCCTTAACAAAATACCTCTTTTCTTCACAAAATAATTTTTGGGATTTCATCATTGATTAAATATAATAACATTATTTTCCTTGTCGCTCAAAACCTGACTACAGTTACCTCTGATGTAAATTGGCACAAATTAGGCGCTGTGGCTTAGTTGGTTAAAGTACCTGTCTCGTAAACAGGAGATCCTGGGTTCAAATCCCAGCAGTGCCTTAACAAAATACATCTTTTCTTTACAAAATATTTTTTGGGGATTTCATCATTGAGAAAATATAATTACATTATTTTCCTTGTAGCTCAAAACCTGACTACAGTTACCTCTGATGTAAATTGGAACAAACAAGGTGCTGTGGCTTAGTTGGTTAAAGTGCCTGTCTAGTAAACAGGAGATCCTGGGTTCAAATCCCAGCGGTGCCTTAACAAAATACATCTTTTCTTCACAAAATAATTTTTGGGATTTTATCATTGAGAAAATATAATTACATTATTTTCCTTGTAGCTCAAAACCTGACTACAGTTACCTCTGATGTAAATTGGCACAAATAAGGTGCTGTGGCTTAGTTGGTTAAAGTGCCTGTTTAGTAAACAGGAGATCCTGGGTTCAAATCCCAGCAGTGCCTTAATAAAATACATCTTTTCTTCACAAAATAATTTTTGGGATTTCATCATTGAGAAAATATAATTACATTATTTTCCTTGTAGCTCAAAACCTGACTACAGTTACCTCTGATGTAAATTGGCACAAATTAGGCGCTGTGGCTTAGTTGGTTAAAGTGCCTGTCTCGTAAACTGTAGATCCTGTGTTCAAATCCCAGTGGTGCCTTAACAAAATACATCTTTTCTTCACAAAATAATTTTTGGGATTTCATCATTAAGAAAATATAATTACATTATTTTCCTTGTAGCTCAAAAACCTGACTACAGTTACTTCTGATGTAAATTGGCACAAATAAGGTGCTGTGGCTTAGTTGGTTAAAGTGCCTGTCTTGTAAACAGGAGATTCTGGGTTCAAATCCCAGAGGTGCCTTAATAAAATACATCTTTTCTTCACAAAATAACTTTTGGGATTTCATCATTGATTAAATATAATTAAATAATTTTCTTTGTAGCTCAAAACCTGACTACAGTTACCTCTGATGTAAATTGGCACAAACAAGGCGCTGTGGCTTAGTTGGTTAAAGTGCCTGTCTAGTAAACAGGAGATCCTGGGTTCAAATCCCAGCAGTGCCTTAATAAAGCACATCTTTTCTTCACAAAAGAATTTTTGGGATGTCATCATTGAGAAAATATAATTAAATTATTTTCCTTGTAGTTTAAAACCTGACTACAGTTAGGTGTCTCTTAATTGGGATTTTCCCATTTCTTGTCGTGCCGGCGCAGAAGGAGTGACTGAAAAGCAGAGGGGCTCTGTGGCGCAATGGACAGCGCATTGGACTTCTAGGTGAGAGAACAAGGCATTCAAAGGTTGTGGGTTCGAGTCCCACCAGAGTCATCATTTTCGTATTCTAAGTAAGTGTAGTGTCGATTAATTTGTGGTTTCCTTGAAGCTCAAAACCTGACTACAATTACCTCTGTTGTGAATTGTGAAAGACAAGGCACTGTGGCTTAGTAGGTTAAAGTTCCTGTCTCCTAAACAGGAGATCCTGGGTTTAATTCCCAGTGGTGCCTCATAGAAATACATCTTTTCTTCACAAAATAATTTTTGGGATTCCATCATTGTAAAAATATAATTAAATTATTTTTCTTGTAGCTCAAAACATGACTACAGTTACCTCTGATGTAAATTGGAACAAACAAGGCGCTGTGGCTTAGTTGGTTAAAGTGCCTGTCTAGTAAACAGGAGATCCTGGGTTCAAATCCCAGCGGTGCCTTAATAAATCACATCTTTTCTTCACAAAATAATTTTTAGGATTCCATCATTGTAAAAATATAATGAAATAATTTTCCTTGTAGCTCAAAACCTGACTACAGTTAGGTGTCTCTTAATTGGGATTTTCCCATTTCTTGTGCTGTGGGCGCAGAAGGAGTGACTGAAAAGCAGAGGGGCTCTGTGGCGCAATGGACAGCACATTGGACTTCTAGGTGAGAGAAGAAGGCATTCAAAGGTTGTGGGTTCGAGACCCACCAGAGTCATCATTTTCGTATTCTAAGTAAGTGTAGTGTCGATTAATTTGTGGTTTCCTTGAAGCTCAAAGCCTGACTACAATTACCTCTGTTGTGAATTGTGAAAGACAAGGCACTGTGGCTTAGTAGGTTAAAGTTCCTGTCTCCTAAACTGGATATCAAGGGTTTAATTCCCAGCGGTGCCTCATAGAAATACATCTTTTCTTCACAAAATAGATTTTGGGATTTCATCATTGAGAAAATATAATTACATTATTTTCCTTGTAGCTCAAAACCTGACTACAGTGACCTCTGATGTAAATTGGCACAAATTAGGCGCTTTGGCTTAGTTGGTTAAAGTGCCTGTCTCGTAAACTGTAGATCCTGGGTTCAAATCCTAGCGGTGCCTTAACAAAATACATCTTTTCTTCACAAAATAATTTTTGGGATTTCATCATTGAGAAAATATAATTACATTATTTTCCTTGTAGCTCAAAACCTGACTACAGTTACCTCTGTTGTAAATTGGCACACATTAGGCGCTGTGGCTTAGTTGGTTAAAGTGCCTGTCTCGTAAACTGTAGATCCTGGGTTCAAATCCTAGCGGTGCCTTAACAAAATACATCTTTTCTTCACAAAATAATTTTTGGGATTTCATCATTGAGAAAATATAATTACATTATTTTCCTTGTAGCTCAAAACCTGACTACAGTTACTTCTGATGTAAATTGGCACAAATAAGGTGCTGTGGCTTAGTTGGTTAAAGTGCCTGTCTTGTAAACAGGAGATCCTGGGTTCAAATCCCAGCGGTGCCTTAATAAAATACATCTTTTCTTCACAAAATAACTTTTGGGATTTCATCATTGATTAAATATAATTAAATAATTTTCTTTGTAGCTCAAAACCTGACTACAGTTACCTCTGATGTAAATTGGCACAAACAAGGCGCTGTGGCTTAGTTGGTTAAAGTGCCTGTCTAGTAAACAGGAGATCCTGGGTTCAAATCCCAGCAGTGCCTTAATAAAATACATCTTTTCTTCACAAAAGAATTTTTGGGATTTCATCTTTGAGAAAACATAATTAAATTATTTTCCTTGTGGCTCAAAACCTGACTACAGTTAGGTGTCTCATATTTGGGATTTTCCCATTTCTTTTCCTGCGGGTGCAGAAGGAGTGACTGAAAAACAGTGGGTCTCTGTGGCGCAATGGACAGCGCATTGGACTTCTAGGACAGAAGAAGGCATTTAAAAGTTGTGGGTTCGAGTCCCACCAGAGTCATCAGTTTGCATTCTAAGTAAGTGTTGTGTCGATTAATTTTTGGTTTCCTTGAAGCTCAAAACCTTACTACAATTACCTCTGTTGTGAATTGTGAAAGACATGCACTGTGGCTTAGTAGGTTAAAGTTCCTGTCTCCTAAACAGGATATCATGGGTTTAATTCCCAGCGGTGCCTCATAGAAATACATCTTTTCTTCACAAAATAATTTTTGGGATTCCATCATTGTTAAAATATAATTAAATTATTTTCCTTGTAGCTCAAAACCTGACTACTGTTACCTCTGATGTAACTTGGCACAAATAAGGCGCTGTGGCTTAGTTGGTTAAAGTGCCTGTCTCGTAAACAGGAGATCCTGGGTTCAAATCCCAGCAGTGCCTTAACAAAATACATCTTTTCTTCACAAAATAATTTTTGGGATTTCATCATTGAGAAAATATAATTACATTATTTTCCTTGTAGCTCAAAACCTGACTACAGTTACCTCTGATGTAAATTGGCACAAATTAGGCGCTGTGGCTTAGTTGGTTAAAGTGCCTGTCTCGTAAACAGGAGATCCTGGGTTCAAATCCCAGCGGTGCCTTAAACAAATACATCTTTTCTTCACAAAATAATTTTTGGGATTTCATCATTGATTAAATATAATTAATTATTTTCCTTGTAGCTCAAAACCTGACTACAGTTACCTCTGATGTAAATTGGGATTTTCCCATTTCTTTTCCTGCGGGCGCAGAAGGAGTTACTGAAAAACAGTGGGGATCTGTGGCGCAATGGACAGCGCATTGGACTTTTAGGACAGAAGAAGGCTTTTAAAGGTTGAAGGTTCGAGTCCCACCAGAGTCATCAGTTTGCATTCTAAGTAAGTGTTGAGTCGATTAATTTTTGGTTTCCTTGAAGCTCAAAACCTTACTACAATTACCTCTGTTGTGAATTGTGAAAGACATGGCACTGTGGCTTAGTAGGTTAAAGTTCCTGTCTCCTAAACAGGATATCATGGGTTTAATTCCCAGCGGTGCCTCATAGAAATACATCTTTTCTTCAACAAAATATTTTTTGGGATTCCATCATTGTTAAAATATAATTAAATTATTTTCCTTGTAGCTCAAAACCTGACTACTGTTACCTCTGATGTAAATTGGCACAAATAAGGCACTGTTGCTTAGTTGGTTAAAGTGCCTGTCTCGTAAACAGGAGATCCTGGGTTCAATTCCCAGCGGTGCCTTAACAAAATACATCTTTTCTTCACAAAATAATTTTTGGGATTTCATCATTGAGAAAATATAATTACATTATTTTCCTTGTAGCTCAAAACCTGACTACAGTTACCTCTGATGTAATTTGGAACAAACAAGGTGCTGTGGCTTAGTTGGTTAAAGTGCCTGCCTAGTAAACAGGAGATCCTGGGTTCAAATCCCAGCAGTGCCTTAATAAAACACATCTTTTCTTCACAAAAGAATTTTTGGGATTTCATCATTGAGAAAATATAATTAAATTATTTTCCTTGTAGCTCAAAACCTGACTACAGTTACCTCTGATGTAAATTGGAACAAACAAGGCGCTGTGGCTTAATTGGTTAAAGTGCCTGTCTAGTAAACAGGAGATCCTGGGTTCAAATCCCAGCGGTGCCTTAATAAAACACATCTTTTCTTCACAAAAGAATTTTTGGGATTTCATCATTGAGAAAATATAATTAAATTATTTTCCTTGTAGCTCAAAACCTGACTACAGTTAGGTGTCTCTTAATTGGGATTTTCCCATTTCTTGTCCTGCGGCGCAGAAGGAGTGACTGAAAAGCAGAGGGGCTCTGTGGCGCAATGGACAGCGCATTGGACTTCTAGGTGAGAGAAGAAGGCATTCAAAGGTTGTGGGTTCGAGTCCCACCAGAGTCATCATTTTCGTATTTTAAGTAAGTGTTGTGTCGATTAATTTTTGGTTTCCTTGAAGCTCAAAACCTGATTACAATTACCTCTGTTGTGAATTGTCATAGCAAGGCACCGTGGCTTAGTAGGTTAAAGTCCCTGTCTCATAAACATTAGATCCTGGGTTCAAATCCCAGCAGTGCCTCATAGAAATACATCTTTTCTTCACAAAATTATTTTTGGGATTCCATCATTGTAAAAATAAAATTAAATTATTTTCCTTGTAGCTCAAAACCTGACTACAGTTACCTCTGATGTAAATTGGAACAAACAAGGCGCTGTGGCTTAGTTGGTTAAAGTGCCTGTCTAGTAAACAGGAGATCCTGGGTTCAAATCCCAGCGGTGCCTTAATAAAACACATCTTTTCTTCACAAAAGATTTTTTGGGATTTCATCATTGGGAAAATATAATTAAATAATTTTTCTGTAGCTCAAAACCTGACTACAGTTAGGTGTCTCTTAATTGGGATTTTCCCATTTCTTGTCCTGCGGGCGCAGAAGGAGTGACTGAAGAGCAGAGGGGCTCTGTGGCGCAATGGACAGCGCATTGGACTTCTAGGTGAGAGAAGAAGGCATTTAAAGGTTGTGGGTTCGAGACCCACCAGAGTCATCATTTTCGTATTCTAAGTAAGTGTAGTGTCGATTATTTTGTGGTTTCCTTGAAGCTCAAAACATGACTACAATCACCTCTGTTGTGAATTGTGAAAGACAAGGCACTGTGGCTTAGTTGGTTAAAGAGCCTGTCTAGTAAACAGGAGATCCTGGGTTCAAATCCTAGCAGTGCCTCATAGAAATACATCTTTTCTTCACAAAATAATTTTTGGTATTCTATTATTGTAAAAATATAATTAAATTATTTTCCTTGTAGCTCAAAACATGACTACAGTTACCTCTGATGTAAATTGGAACAAACAAGGCGCTGTGGCTTAGTTGGTTAAAGTGCCTGTCTAGTAAACAGGAAATCCTGGGTTCAAATCCCAGCGGTGCCTTAATAAAACACATCTTTTCTTCACAAAAGAATTTTTGGGATTTCATCATTGAGAAAATATAATTAAATTATTTTCCTTGTAGCTCAAAACCTGACTACAGTTAGGTGTCTCTTAATTGGGATTTTCCCATTTCTTGTCGTGCGGGCACAGAAGGAGTGACTGAAAAGCAGAGGGGCTCTGTGGCGCAATGGACAGCGCATTGGACTTCTAGGTGAAAGAAGAAGGCGTTCAAAGGTTGTGGGTTGGAGTCCCACCAGAGTCATCATTTTCGTATTCTAAGTAAGTGTTGTGTGGATTAATTTTTGGTTTCCTTGAAGCTCAAAACCTGATTACAATTTCCTCTGTTGTGATTTGTCATAGCAAGGCACCGTGGCTTAGTAGGTTAAAGTCCCTGTCTCATAAACATTAGATCCTGTGTCCAAATCCCAGCAGTGCCTCATAGAAATACATCTTTTCTTCACAAAATTATTTTTGGGATTCCATCATTGTAAAAATAAAATTAAATTATTTTCCTTGTAGCTAAAAAACATGACTACAGTTACCTCTGATGTAAATTGGAACAAAAAAGGCGCTGTGGCTTAGTTGGTTAAAGTGCCTGTCTAGTAAACAGGAGAGCCTGGGTTCAAATCCCAGCGGTGCCTTAATAAAACACATCTTTTCTTCACAAAAGAAATTTTGGGATTTCATCATTGAGAAAATATAATCACATTATTTTCCTTGTAGCTCAAAACCTGACAACAGTTAGGTGTCTCTTAATTGTGATTTTCCCATTTCTTGTCCTGCGGGTACAGAAGGAGTGACTGAAAAGCAGAGGGGCTCTGTGGCGCAATGGACAGCGCATTGGACTTCTAGGTGAGAGAAGAAGGCATTCAAAGGTTGTGGGTTCGAGTCCCACCAGAGTCATCATTTTCGAATTCTAAGTAAGTGTAGTGTCGATTAAATTGTGGTTTCCTTGAAGCTCAAAACCTGACTACAATTACCTCTGTTGTGAATTGTGAAAGACAAGGCACTGTGGCTTAGTAGGTTAAAGTTCCTGTCTCCTATACAGGAGATCCTGGGTTCAATTCCCAGCTGTGCCGCATAGAAATACATCTTTTCTTCACAAAATAATTTTTGGGATTCCATCATTGTAAAAATATAATTAAATTATTTTCCTTGTAGCTCAAAACCTGACTACAGTTACCTCTGATGTAAATTGGCACAAACAAGGCGCTGTGGCTTAGTTGGTTAAAGTGCCTGTCTAGTAAACAGGAGATCCTGGGTTCAAATCCCAACGGTGCCTTAATAAAACACATCTTTTCTTCACAAAAGAATTTTTGGGATTCCATCATTGTAAAAATATAATTAAATTATTTTCCTTGTAGCTCAAAACCTGACTACAGTTACCTCTGATGTAATTTGGAACAAACAAGGTGCTGTGGCTTAGTTGGTTAAAGTGCCTGTCTAGTAAACAGGAGATCCTGGGTTCAAGTCCCAGCGGTGCCTTAATAAAACACATCTTTTTTCATAAAAGAATTTTTGGGATTTCATCATTGGGAAAATATAATTAAATTATTTTTCTGTAGCTCAAAACCTGACTACAGTTAGGTGTCTCTTAATTGGGATTTTCCCATTTCTAGTCCTGCGGGCGCAGAAGGAGTGACTGAAAAGCAGAGGGGCTCTGCGGCGCAATGGACAGCGCATTGGACTTCTAGGTGAGAGAAGAAGGCATTCAAAGGTTGTGGGTTCGAGTCCCACCAGAGTCATCATTTTCTTATTCTAAGTAAGTGTAGTGTCGATTAATTTGTGGTTTCCTTGAAGCTCAAAACCTGACTACAATTACCTCTGTTGTGAATTGTGAAAGACAAGGCACTGTGGCTTAGTAGGTTAAAGTTCCTGTCTCCTAAACAGGAAATCCTGGGTTTAATTCCCAGCGGTGCCTCATAAAAATACATCTTTTCTTCACAAAATTATTTTTGGGATTCCATCATTGTAAAAATATAATTAAATTATTTTCCTTGTAGCTCAAAACCTGACTACAGTTACCTCTGATGTAAATTGGAACAAACAAGGCACTGTGGCTTAGTTGGTTAAAGTGCCTGTCTAGTAAACAGGAGATCCTGGGTTCAAATCCCAGCGGTGCCTTCATAAAACACATCTTTTCTTCACAAAAGAATTTTTGGGATTCCATCATTGTAAAAATATAATGAAATTAGTTTCCTTGTAGCTCAAAACCTGACTACAGTTACTTCTGATGTAAATTGTAACAAGCAAGGCGCTGTGGCTTAGTTGGTTAAAGTGCCTGTCTAGTAAACAGGAGATCCTGGGTTCAAATCCCAGCAGTGCCTTAATAAAACACATCTTTTCTTCACAAAATAATTTTTGGGATTCCATCATTGTAAAAATATAATGAAATAATTTTCCTTGTAGCTCAAAACCTGACTACAGTTAGGTGTCTCTTAATTGGGATTTTCCCATTTCTTGTCCTGTGGGCGCAGAAGGAGTGACTGAAAAGCAGAGGGGCTCTGTGGCGCAATGGACAGCGCATTGGACTTCTAGGTGAGAGAAGAAGGCATTCAAAGGTTGTGGGTTCGAATCCCGCCAGAGTCATCATTTTCGTATTTTAAGTAAGTGTTGTGTCGATTAATTTTTGGTTTCCTTCAAAACCTGATTACAATTACCTCTGTTGTGAATTGTCATAGCAAGGCACCGTGGCTTAGTAGGTTAAAGTCCCTGTCTCTTAAACATTATATCCTGGGTTCAAATCCCAGCAGTGCCTCATAGAAATACATCTTTTCTTCACAAAATAATTTTTGGGATTCCATCATTGTAAAAATATAATTTAATTATTTTCCTTGTAGCTCAAAACCTGACTACAGTTACCTCTGATGTATATTGCAACAAACAAGGCGCTGTGGCTTTGTTGGTCAAAGTACCTGTCTAGTAAACAGGAGATC